GCTTCATTATCACTTTGGCGAACAATTTGATGGTCGATCGATCATGATCGATCGACCATTTGAGCAGTTCAGAAACTATCATGCATGATAGTTTCTGAACTGCTCATGAGTCATGAGTTGCGTTCATTTGCTTTCGGAAAATCATACTTGCGCATATAGAAAAAATAATATCTGCTAAAAAATGCTCACAGGGGATTCCAGGCCATAGTTCAATGGCCAAACTGCGAAACCACTTATCTGTATTGCGGTTTTTCAAGTTTCACGTTCCAATTTTAATTTTACAAAGAGAAACAAGCTAAAGTCATAATGTGTTTAACAGAATTTTGACGGTGAAACTACCCAGTGGCATGGCATGCTTTGCGATATATCAATTGATCTGCCATTTAAACCTATGGAAAAGTATCGATAAACAGGGTGTCCGCAGCAAACACTTTAATAATCGATTATTTGCCACAGCTTCAAATGGGAAATATCGATAGATCGTATAAAGCACGCCACGCCACTGAAACTACCAGACCACGCATCTCGTTTGCGGTGTTCAAAAGTCTCCAATCCCATTTTATTTTTTGAAGGAGTTCAAAATGAATATCATTCCTTGAAGTTTTCACAGAGTTTTCTTAGCACCGAGAAGAAGAATCACGGGAGTTTTTAAGAATAGACATTCGGTAATTTTCCATTTAAAATTTAAAGTATGACCGGAAGTCTGCAACGTCGCGAACCGAACTCTGAAGTCTCGTAGTTTTACTGCACTGAAAAAAATGGTATGCTGTTTTAGCACCTAGGATGTATAAATGTGTCTGGTGATTCTAAGATGCTGTCTTGATTGCCCACGCAGTTGAATTCGCATTCACAGGATGTAAATTTATCTGCCGGGACTGTAAAGGCAGCATCTTGGGGTCACCAGACACATTTTTTGACATCCTAGGTTCTAAAACAGCATATTTTTTTTTCTTTTTTTTCAGTGTGGTAGCCGATATTCTGCTTACAGAGAAGAAAAATCAGTGAGGTTTTCAAGAAATACAGTTGTCTATACGTTCCCAAGAAAAAAATTAAAGTATGATAAGTAGTCTTCAACATCGCAAACGGAGATACGTAGTATCGCACTTTGGCCATCACTATCCATCAACTGAGCACTTTCTCAAGAATCTCTCGATGAAAGGAAGACGATGTAAGAGGTAAAATTAAAATCAAGTTATCGGTTTTTCCCCGACTGAGACTGAGAGTGACTTGAAAAATTGATAAACAGCCGGCTGAGCTTAAATCGGTGCCCAAATGGCTGAAGATCGGAGAGGGATCTTCTCTTGCATAAAGTGGAATCCCCTACGGCTTTTGCCCCCGTAACAAAGTGGCCTCCTGAGATTTGATTGATACACAATAGAGGGTTCACGGATTCCATATGCAGGAGAGATGAGGCGACGAGGCGACGGGTGCATAGAATCAACCCGTCGAGGGATGGGTTCATACTGAGTCCGAAAAGAAAGTTGAACTTTCATAAAAAGTTGTTAAACCTTTACTGAGAGGAATTGCCTAAAACATGCTTTGTGAAATATTTTTTTTTTTCAAAGAAAATTTTTTTTTCCAGTTAAAGAATTTTTTAAGTGAAATTTAGCTTTTTTAATAAAAAAAATGGTCACTCTATCAACGACGACGACTTTACTTTTTATCGAATTATAATATTCCAATTTACATTTTGAAAAAGAAAAAAAGAACTCGTCTGAATTCGAAAAAAATTCCAAAACTCAAAAACCATTACTTCCAGTTCTTGGACCACCAAAATTTTCGTTTTTTGTCGCAATTCGACCTAGTTCTCTTCTGAGTCGATTTCCATGTTTTTTGCGATTATCGACAGGTGACAAGTCCCAAAATGAGCCAGGGTTCTTTTTCTCTGAGTTCTACATTTAGAGGCTTTGCAAAATAATTGCGTCATATATTTCTGTCATCTTAGATATTTAATTGTAAAATACTTTTTCCGGTAAGAACAGCGCAAAAAAACTGCTCTCAAAATGCCTCGTATTTTAAGATTTTCCAAGGAAGCCTGTCAGACTTCTCTTGACGAAGTGCCTTTATGTGTCCTCCATATCCCTTTCTTGATGAGGTGCCCTCCTTTGCTGCTCTCATCAAAAAATCATAATTAAAAAGAATGCATCGTGGCCTAGGAACCCATAAATATAAAGGGTGCGTGAACTTGAAGTCACATTTGGAAGTTTGAGACTCAAATATGATAGATCAAAACTACGTAAGAAGTTTTTTGCTGTACTGCACTTTTCAAATTATACGAACTTGAAGCATCACGGTCTATGTGGTTCTCGTCGAGCCGAAAATTGAACTCGAAAAATCCCGAAAAATCTTGAAATTAAGTAAACATTTTTAAGCTTGTCTGCAGGCTCCTCGTTGGGTAAAAAAATGTTGCGACCTTAAGCACAAACACAAGGCAAGTATATCTCTTTAATTTCCTTTAGCTTGGTTAAATTAACCCTTCTTTCAAATGAAAATTATTTTTAGTTCAACAATTCAACATCCCGCAATGATCATTAACAATATCGGCGTCCATGAGGCACTTCACTGAAAAAAAAATTTCTTGAGATATTGTTTTCACTTAAATCGTAGTTTTTTGTCGACGAAATTTGTTTTTTTTTTTTTAGTTAAATCCGTCCGAATGCAACGTAAGGTCAGTTTTTTTGTTGAAGAAACGCTGTTTTGCTATCGTTAAGTTTGAGTGAAAAAACTATAGCAAAACGACGCTTTTTATCTTTAAAAACAGAATGACTTTAAGTTGCATCCGCACGGATTAAACAAAAAAACACAATTTTATCGACAAGAAACGACGGTTAGAGTCAAAATAATATCTCAGAGGGAAATAATTCAGCGTTTGGTTTGATCTCTGATGCGTAAAAAGCTTATCGCAAAGTTATTGAATATTCTTAAATTAGTACAGTTCTAAGTAGGTAAGTACAAGGTGTTTTTTTTTTTTTATTTCGATGTGCCAGATCATTAAAAAGTAGTAACGTGTTTTTTTCCAAAAATAAGAAGAAACGGGTGAAGGTTAGAATAACAGGAATTACAAGTTAAATGCTCGTAGCCTCTTAGCTTATAGAATTAGCGCCACGCGAGAAAAAAATTAATTCGGTTAATTAGGGAGGATCCTTTTTGCACACCATATCTGATGGAGGCGAATCTGGGACATTGATTAGAAACCGTGATCTGAGATTTCTTAGTTATCACTGTGTCTGATGGTACAATCGAAATTTAACCCCCTGAAAAGACTATTCGTTGAGGTATCAAGCTTGTATGATTCATATTGCACACCGTGATTTTTGAGGACTAATTTTACCGAAGTGTGGGCGAAAAACGTAAGTTGATCATGGTCGTTCTTTCGCTCTCAGCCTATCCGATGGTCAATGAACCGCTGAACAACGTAAAAATTAAAATACGTAAAGCAATTTTTTCTCATCAATACACAGGAAGTGTTGAATCTGTTGCCGAAAATCCTTTTATAAGTGAGACAGTAACGTTTATAACATTTACATAAAAGAATCTGTAAATTCAAACTTTTCGCTACCGGTAAGACCAAAATAGACGTGCGTCGAATCAATCCCCGAACAGTGAATTCCATGGCTGGGACATGATCAGAATTTAGTTTCACAAAGATTTACTTCCACCTTTCAAATTCAGTAACTTTCAACATTTCCAATAAATATTCAGCCTTTCATGAAAATGCTATTTCATTGTTAAGCTCACTGAAATTCGTTTAGTGACAGAATGTAGTACTTTGGCTAGCTGAAAGTACGAACTTCCGTACATAGAGAACATCAATTCCTCACTCTTAAGTTTTTTCTTTTAAATCTTTATCCAGTCACGTTTCATGTCATACAACGGAGTCAAAAGTCGGATCATAAAATATGTATGATGGTACTTGACATTTCATCCTATTTAGGGATCTATTGCTGTCCCGCTTAATGTTTGACTGCTTAAAATATTTAATTCCGGGTGCACTTATTCGAGCTTGAGAGAACCGATTTTGCCTACTTTGTCTATTGAAGGCGAATTTAACTGAGGCATGAAACAAGGAATGTGGTTTTGTGTCACTTCGAGTACTCTGTCCCTTTTATAATTTTCTTGTTCCTACACTGAAAACATTTTTTCTTGAGATATTATTTTGACTTAAGCGTTGTTTTTTGTCGATGAAATTTAGTTCTTTTTAGTTAAGTCCTTAGGGATTGAACTTAAAGTCAGTTTCTTTAGTTGAAAAAACGTTGTTTTTATCTTTTCTATTTAAACTTAACGATAACAGAACGACGTTTTTTTAACTAAAAAAAAACTGATTTTGGGTAGGATCCACTCAGCTTTAACTCAAAAGAACCAAATGTTATCGACATGAACGGACGCTATAAAGTCAAAAAAATATTTTAAGATTTATTTTTTTTTTCAGTATTAACTGAGGCATGAAACAAGGAACATGATTTTTGTCACATTGTATACCTTGACCCCTATCCCTTTTCCAATTCTCTCGTTTCTACATTTCTTTTGGTAGAGGTTGAAGGTAAAAGGCTGAAAAGGTTGTCAAACTTCTGGCCCTTGTTGCATACTCTGTCTAAAAAGAAGGAAAATCCAGCCAAAGCATGACATATCGACGGCGTAAGTTGGCAATCACATAACTCGGTTGGCGACGTCACAGACTCCCTGTCATACTTTATTTTTTAAACGGAAAACTACTCAACGGCAATCCTTTAAAACTGCCGTGATTTTTCTTCTCTGTGCGAAGAACATTCTGCATAAACTTCAAGGAATGATGTCAATTTGTTCTCCTTTAAAAAAATACCTAACATGGATGCGGAGATTTTCAGACACTGCAAACGAGATATGTGATTGCCGACTTACACCTGACTGATATGAAACAGTATTCTGGTCACTCTTATTCCTTTCCCTTCCGTTTAATCCCCTCGTTCCCGGATTTCTTTTGGTAAAGGTTGAAAGACAAAAGGTTGAAAATATTGTCAAACCTCTGGCGTCGGAGTCGATTCCCGATGAGTTGAGTCTATCGTCCTCTCTGCGGTGCTGAAAGTTCGGAGGCTGGAATGAGGACTCTCTCTCGCTGCACAAACTCATGGCTGCCGCTTTTCGCTGTGAGCAATCGAAAATGGCGGGAAACTGACCTCTGAGAACGAGATTCACTTGGTCCTGCAGGGATCGGAGCCTGTCCTCAACTGATGTCCGTTGCCATTTTTCCAAATCTGTCGCGGATCCCAGGATTCTTCGGTTGTCGAGAAAACTCGACGAAATTCAGAGTCTCCAACACAATTTACAAAGCATATATCTCAGCTTGTTGAAATAATGGTGTAGAAAATTGAACAAAATTTCACGAAGGAAGTTTTTCTACTCGATTTTTCTGTTTCGGCCAGTTTTTGAAACTATCAACATTTTACTTTCCCTGATCGAAGTGAGAACTTTTGAAAGACTTTCCTCGCTGCCCACGTCATAAAACTTTTCGACAGTGGTTTCAGATAGACGTCCTTTTGGTACAGATTTGCGTCGGTCAAACGGAAAGTCGGAATTTCCACCTTAATAAAGTCACCAAAGGAGAGAATTTGACGCTAAAAAAAAGCGTAATAATCAAGATGGCACCACTCAACCATACAGTTTATCATGATACAACTTCTATGAGTTATTTCTATTTAGTTTTTACGGTGTTCAATCGCGATGAATTTATTTTGAATTTTTTTCACTGATTAAACGATTCCAATGGATGTTCAAGAGATGTAAATGTCCCGGTAGCAAAAATTATTCAGAGCAAAAATCCAACCATTTCTATTCAGTTTTTACGGTGATTACGCGATAGTTTTATTCTAAATATTCTCACCGATAAATGATTTCAATGTTCAAGAAATGAAAATGTCCTGGTATCAAAATTATTCATAGAAAAAAATCCCTTTTTTTCTTTTTTTCCACTTCTACGGATAATAAAGTAACGACAACGCACTAAGTGAGTAAATCTACAAAATAATCAACAGCACCAAAAAAAACCTTTTCCGTTCAGTTTTTACGATGTTTAATCGCGAAAGGCTTATTCTAAATATTTTCACCGATTAAACGATTTCAAATGTTCAAGAAATGTAAAAGTTTTGGTACCAAAATTATTCATAGGAAAAATCCTTTTTTTTTTCCTTTTTTTGTTCTTTTTTCCAAATAATATAGTAACGACAATGCGACCAGTGAGTGAGTATATAAAATAATCAACAGCACCAAAAAAAATTCAAATTTGTCACAGGAGCAGGAAAAACCGAGCGCGGTGCCGGAAATGGAGCGGACACGAAACTGAGCTCGGGAAATGCGGCCGGAAATCGGGAGAGCGATCGTGGCGGGACTTCCGGCGGCCGGGAACAAGCGGCGAATCGCGAGGCGGCGCCGGCGGGCAAATGTCGAAGGGCGGTGCTCCGCATAAAAAGACCGGCCCAGAGCGAGCGGGAGTAGAGATGAAACGCCAGACGCGTGCGCCAACGCCCCCAAAGCGAAAACCGCGCACCCGCCCGGATTTCCCATCGGGGCTTACGCGGTTTCCGCCTCCCAAGGCGGCCTCCCCTCCGAGCTTTCGTCGGGCTCCCGATTTCGTCATCCCACTTCCGTTTCTTGTTCTGCTCTTTCGACCCTCGTCGCCCCCCCCCTCCCCTCCGCCTCCACGGGCAAGGTTCTTCGGGGTCTTGTTTTTGGTCCCTCGGCGCCGGGTTCTTAATGGCGATCAAGTTGATATCCATGCGAAACCAGGGTTTTTCGGAGGTGTTGTTGGATATCTCTGTCCACAGCAAAAACGCCCTAATAACTCCATAACTCCAAATTTTGTATTTTACTTCAACACATACTGCTCTAATACAAGAAAATCCAAGTGCACTGGAAAAAAACACATTGGATCTAGAGTCCAGACTCTTGAAAACATTGACAAGAAAAAGGACTCTTGATTCAATCAGATTTAAGCTTAAATCAAAAAGAAATCCGCTCAAATTACAAGGCTTGGTTCTTGATTTAAGCTTAAATCTGATTTAGCCAAGAGTATTTTTTCTTGTCGATGTTTTTAAAAGTCTGGACTCTAGATCCAATGTGTTTTTTTTTCCTCCAGTGTTCGACAAGGCTTTATTTCTTCAATTTTGAGTTTTTAAGGGTATGCTAAAATCGATTCGAAAAGAAGGATGAATATTTGTTAGTTTTCTTGTAAAATAGTATTTCGTCAGAAAAAAATCGAACAAATGTCGAATGGAGATACGGCGTTTACGCTTTGGACGGCAGATCTGTTCTACCGTACTGAGGAAGAACGCCGTATGAGCCATCAGACGTTCCCAAATTTCCTGCAATAAATAACGAATTTGCAGGGAAGATTTTGGATTTTTCCTCTCGAAATTTTCAGACAATTCCGTACGCAATTTCATTTAAAATATCTGAAAATTTCAAGGGAAACTGTGAATGAATGTCGTCAAATATACATATTTTATCAAGGTAAATTTGGCGACTCTCGCAAGTTCATACGGCGGTCTGCTTTAGCACGGCAGTGTTTTGTTTGGAAATTAAGAATGGAATTTGGATTTTTTTTTTTAATTTTACGGGGAGTTTTATTGTACAAAAAAAAATGCACAATATTTCATATTTTTTTCAGGTTCTGAATGGCGATGAAATTTTTAACAATGACAAAACTTCTTCTTTTTTTCGTTCTTCTTCTTCTTTTTGGTTCCACTTCTTTTTGGTTTGCGTCTCTGGAGATCTCTTTGAGAAGTTGAGACATTTCGTGTTTTTTCAGGTTCTGAATGGCGGTGAGTTTTTAACAATGACGAAACCACGTTTTTTTGGTTTGCACCGTTGGATATCTGCCGCGCTTGGAGGTGATTACCTAATGACATTTCATTTGAATTTTCGTGACCTTTCATTTTTCTAAAAACTAATTTATGATATCTAATATTTTTCCAGGTTCTGAAAAGCAATGAAATTGTTAACAATGACCACGTTTTTTGAAAATCTTCTGCGTAAGATGAAAATTTAAGTTCTCTTCTAAATTTTATGAAATTTCTGTACGCTCCGAAAAATTCATGAAATTTGGTTACCTACAGAATCTTAATTTCGATGAAGGTGCTGATGGTGACGAATCCACTTTTTTTGGTTTGTATCATTGGAGTTGTACTAGGAGATTAGATTTGTTCTAGGAGAGTGTAAATTAGAGTTTTCTCTAAAATTTCATGATATTTCACGATGCTCAAAAAGTTCATGAAATTATGATGCAAACTTCGTGACAAAAATATGAATATTAGCCTCTTATTCTCTCGTAAACGAATAAGAAGGAGCCAGAAGTTGCTCAGGGGCCGCTCATAAAATACGTAAAGCTCTAAGGTCAGGGGGAGGCAGTCTCGGAAAACGTTCCGCCATTTCATTTTTACGCGTCAAGCGGTAGGAACCGGGAACCTACGTCGCAAATAAGCGTTACGAAGGAGGAAAAGGGGTTGAAAAATCCGAAATATAGCGGTGCGTATTTTATGAACGGCCTTTACCCGAACTGATAGATAAACTATGAAATTTAAGCAGCATTTGAAAGAAGATGGGACTCTCTGAAATTTACCATCCATTCATTCTAGTCATGCCTCTGTGTGAAAGAAGTGCCAGTGCGCCCTCTAGGAATACTGTTAAAATTAATTCATTGTGTATGCACCAAAAATCTAGTTATCACACTGGAAAAAAACACATTGGATCTAGAGTCCAGACTCTTAAAAACATCGACAAGAAAAAATACTCTTGATTCAATCGGATTTTTGCTTAAATCAAGAACCAAGCCTCTTAATTTGAGCGGATTTCCTTTTGATTTAAGCTTAAATCTGATTGAATCAAGAGTCCTTTTCGTTGTAAATGTTTTCAAGAGTCTGGACTCTAGATCCAATGTGTTTTTTCTCCAGTGCACTTAATTCTCCGTCTCCCACACGGAATAGAAACTCTACTCTCACGTCGCTAGATTGCCTCAATCAGTCCAAGCTTTAGCAAGGATATAATTTCAAATATGATTTTCGAATTTTTTTTGTAATCGACGGAAAAATCAGTGATAACAGTCTGAGGTGCCTTACAGATGTCTCATAAAAATAAAATTTACCAGTCAAAATTTTGCAATCTTGCGGAATGAAGTTAGGTTTCTTCGTTTCGGAAACATCGAATTCTGTCTGCATGCCGTTACATGCTTACTTTGACCATTGTTTTATTATATCTAACTATATACATAAAAATGAGAAAAAAACACAAAGAAGTGGCCCGGATACTGTATGTAACAAGGTGGAGAAATGGTGTTGGGTCCACACCATTTCGCGGGGAAATCAAAGCCAAGAAGTTCCAAAAATTATAATTAGAGTCAAAAATACTTGTTTAAACTCTAATGAGCACCAGTACAAAATTGAGTGGGGAGAGTGTTCAGCTCAGGCAGTTTGCATTGGAATATTAAGTTGGAGTCACGCCGAGAGATTTATAGCGGTTTGGGTCTTTCCAGACCTCTTTAGCAGAGAATCTGGAACCAATATTTCTGTTTCAATCCCATCCCTCCAACCTCCCATTGGGCGTCCTCTACGCCTTTTCCCAGCAGGAACCATATCAATTCTAACTATATCTAACAATATCTAACTACATATCTACGTTATTTCTAACTATATTTTGCAATAAAAAGCCACTATTTCTCGCTTATTTTTAAAGCGACATAATAGCATCAGTTCTCCGACAAGAAGACGTAACCATACTTCAATGTCACTTTTCCTCTCTTAAACTGAATTTTTGGCAGGAGCGATTTGTGTATTTCCACTTGAGTAATTTCCCCTGACTTTCCCTCTAATTTCATGCAAAAATCAAAAACAAATTTGAACCAAAATTGTACAGGTACATTTTTGTAAAAAAAACTGACTGGTTTGTGTCAATTTTGCAACCCTCTTTTCAACCCCCTGCACAGCTGGAGAGAAACATCCTTGAATTCCTGCATTTGGCTGATTATTGAAATTTATAGACGAAGCGACAGACTCAATATGACAAAGGGAAATGGAACGATCATATCGATTGGCACGAGTGGTTCTCATATGGAAAGGGAAAAATTATGGTAACATATAGTTTCCCGTGAATTGCCGTTACTTAGTCTATAATTTAGCTCTTCGGTTTATTGAAACCACCCGATTCCACCAACCGATCGCTCTATCTCCCTTTGTCATCTTTGTCTATCACTTTGTCTATCGCTTGTCTATGAATTTCAATAACCAGCCAGATGTAGGGTATCAAGGATATTTCCCTCCAGCTGTACAGAAGGTTGAAAAGAGGGTTGCAAAATTGACTCAACCCAGTCAGTTTTCTACAAAAATGTACCCGTGCAATTTTGGTTCAAACTTCAAATTCAAAGTTTTTCTGGTTTTGCACGAAATCAGGCGGAAAATCAAGAAAATATACTCAACTAATAGGACCCAAGTTTCTCCTGGCAAAAATGCAGTTTGAGAGGGAAAATGTGGCAACATTGAAGTATAGTTACGTCCTTTTGTCAGATAACGATGCACAGAAAAAAAATCTTGGTGTATTTACTAAGAAAAGGGTAAAATTACCAAGAATTCAGGGTTCTATTTGATCCCAGTTTTTTCTTGGTAAAATTACTATTTATGGAATTGGTAATCTCGGTAAAATTATTGAACTTTCTCGGTAATTTTACTGGACCTTGGTAAAAACGCCGATATTTTTAATCGACTGTGGTAGAATTGCCGAGATAAAATGCCACAGTTACCGGGAATCGATTACCAATAAAAGTGGCATTCTTACCTGAAAAAACAGTAAGAATACCGGTTTTTAGGTAAGCTTACCAGTCTGTCTTTGTAAAATTACCAATAATTGGTAAAAAAAAGTGAGCTGGTAAAAGTACCAACGGACCGTGGTAAAAACGCCGAGAATTTTTTTTGAATGTGCTATTATTTTGCTTCAATTTCAAGGATATTTTCCTCCAGCTATATAGCGGGTTGAGAAGAAAAACCCCCAGCGACACCTCCAAGCGCAAGACGCGCTCTCTAGCGGCGGGGACCGAAGCGCAGCAATCGATGGTGCCTTGGAAGGAGCCGAGGCGGCGCGA